ATTATGCATATTTTAGTAATAACTGTCTAAGTATATATATAAGTGGGTAAACCTCAGGCGAGGTTGAACCACGTGGAATAATCATGTGCGAGCTTTATCTAGTAATTTGCTTTTATGATCACTTTAGCCAATCTTTAATTCTAGCAAATCTAATTTTGCATCTCTAAGTTTTCTGCATATTTTAGTAATAAATCACTAATTGATGTACGAGAAGTTAATAATTATGCATAATTTGTAGTACGGTGATGTATCATTCTCCTGCATGTCAAGCGACTCAGGCCCAAGATTAGATATTGAATCACAAGTTTAAGGCTCCGTTCGTTTCGCGGAAAATTTTACATTTCTAAAAAATATTTTCCAAGAAGCTATTTTCCTAGAAAATGGCACAATTTTTCGGTATTTGACTGAAAACTGAAAAAGTCTTGGAAAGTATTTTCCATTGTTTGGTATGGAAAAGAATTTCCTCCTTACACTACTTTTAATAAATTTTTATTTTTATTTTTTAAAAATATTTTTAATTTTCTTTTTTCTTTTCTTTTTTTTTCCTTCTTCTTCTTCCTCGGCCGACGAGCTCGAGCGTCGCAAAATCCGGCGAGTTGGGTGAGGCTCAACCCTTGCCTGAGGTCTATTCTGGTGAGGTCGAACCTTGTCGGCCTGTGGCGAGGCTCGAGCTCGCCTATGGCCGGTCGCTGGCCGCCGCCATGGCCAGCGACCAGCCGGAGAAGAAGATAGAAAAGATAAAGAAAAAGAAAAAAAAAGATAATAAAAAAATTAGAATTTTAAAAAAAGAAAATAAAAATAATTATAATGAATGATGAAAGAAGAAAGGGGGGAAAATGTTTTCCTCTTTTCAAAAAGTGGAAAATATTTTCCTCACTTTTGAAGGTGTTTTGTCCGTTGAGGGAAAATGTATTCCATGACTAGTCTATTTTTCGTGAAACGAACACCGAAAAATCCGAAAAATGTTTTTCCGGAAGTTATTTTCTGTGAAACGAACGGAGCCTAAATGTATATTGATCAAAAGATGAACCTGTAATTCCTACATTGAAAGGTTTCCAAGTCAGCTTTTTTTTATTTCCCCTTAGGTTGGTTATTCATTTGTAAATCGCTCTCAAATCAATATAAGCTATGCATCTGACGCTCTGTTCTTTAGTATCTTATTTTCTATTTGATTTTACGAAAAATCTTACCTATGTGGTATCAGGGCTAAGAATATGTGGGTTTATTAGAAATCTTGAGTTAGACATAAAAATGTGGGGATAAACAAAATTTGGTGGGAATGAGAAGATGCTATTCTGACAAAAAATTGGTAGAAAGCGTGAATTGATGGGCCGATCCTTTTCTTAGATGAATCGATGCATCGGATGTGGAAAGTAGGAATATGGGGACGATTTTTTCTTAGATTCACAAGGAAATTAGGAAAGTCAGATAATCATCCTTGCCTTTTCATACTCAAATAGCACAAGAGAGATTCACTGTAGGAAATAAAGAACTTGCTGCCTTCAATGTCATCTATTCGTGTCTCATCCATCCAAGTAAAGAGGCGGCAAAAAGTTTCTTCCTGATCGAGTGTAGCTGGGTTGCAATTTTGTCGATTCTCATGCATCTTCTAGGCTACTCTGCAGACACGCGAGTCCAATACGATATATTGTTTCCAAACATTCCTAAAAATATGCGATTTCTATCGTGAAGCGAATCTTGGGAACTGTTGGGGCTCCCTCCTTCGTGAAGCAGCACGAGATTGGTAATCTCCATAGCTCGTTGGGGAAGAGTCTTGGCAACATAATTATGAAGATTCAAATTATTTCTGAATATGTCGCTAGTGAGACTTAATCCCGTGAACATCTCTAATAGGAGGACGCCGTAATTGTAGACATGACCTTCTCTTGAGACCTGGCTTCTGCTAGCATATTTTGCAAGTTACGCATGCCAACATCTATTGCCATTGGTGGTTAAAATGATATTGTAAGTGGCCGCCGCTGGAGGACTCCTATCCTCGTCTCATGAGTTGCCCCGCCCTGCACTCCAAGGGGAAAATTGTCCCGTACGGAGGGGCATCGCGGGGAGCGTATTCTTTCTCTTGGTCCTCCCATTCATTTCCTTTGATTGAAATGACTCGCATTATGCAGTGTAAAGGTCCAAGCTTAAGACCATTCATGCATCCAAGCGGTCCTCCATTTTACTTTCACAATCGAAGTCATTTCGCCTTTCCTTTCAGTTGACTTAACACTAACACTTTCGCTATATCCTATCCTTGTTTGTCCACCTCACGTCAGACTAGTCTCTTATGTCTTTCTCTTGCTCTTTCTTTCTTTTTTCCATCAATTAACTCTTCTCATATTGTCTTCCTCTTGAAATATCCTTTTAACCACCAGTGGCAATAAATGTTGGCTGTCGACGAGTCACCCATCGTGGGGTGAATATTCTATCCATTTGATAAGCAATTTTTGTTTTTTATTTTTAACGAACGCGTTCAACAAACACTTCTCGATGAACTATTTAACAAAGTCTATATAATTTTATTTTATTTTTTGGCGCTTGCTTGGCTTTGAAATTTGACTTTTATTTAATGCTGATCGTTCCAAATTTGTAAAGACGTATGAATTTGATATTAAATTATATATATTTTTCTTTATGCTTTTTGAAGGTAAAATAATTGTTCTTAAATTGATGGGGAACAAATAGGGTTTACATTAAGGGGAGTCCAAGCCCTCAATTAAGAAACATCTAATCCAGATCTGACCATGTGCATTTTCAACATCAAGTCCATCTCTTCAACCATCACCACATACATATGTCTCGTGTGAGATTGAATCACGTGGCATGCTCATTTGCAAGCTTTATTTGTTAATTTACTTTTGATGGTTACTTTAATAAATCTCTAATCCTAGCAAATCTCTAATTATGCATCTCTAGTTCTTATGCATATTTTAATTATAAATCTCTAATCAATGTAAAAGAAGCAAAAGAATTATTTATATTTTGGTAATAAATGTCTAAGTGGGTAAAGCTCACGTGAGGTTGAACCACGTGGAATAATCACGTACGAGCTTTATCTAGTAATTTTCTTTTATGATCACTTTAGCAAATCTCAAATTCTAGCAAATCTAATTTTGCATCTCTAAGTTTTATGCATATTTTTGTAATAAATCACTAATCGATGCATGATAAGTTAAGAATTGTGCATGTTTTGTAGTACGGTGATGTATCGTTCTCCTGCATGTCAGGCCCAAGATTGGATGTTGAATTACAAGTTTAAATGTACATTGATCGAAAGACGAACCTGTAATTCCTACATTGAAAAGTTTCCAAGTCAGATTTTTTATTTCCACCTTAGGTTGGTTATTCATTTGTAAATCGCTTTCAAATCAATATAAGCTATGCATCCAACGCTCTGTTCTTTAGTATCTTATTATCTATTGGATTTTACGAAAAAATCTTACCTATGTGGTATAAGGGCTAAGAATATGAGGGTTTATTGGAAATCTCGCGAGTTTGACATAAAAATGTGGGGATAAACAAAATTTGGTGTGAATGAGAAGATGCTATTCTGACAAAAAAATGGTAGAAAGCGTGAATTGATGGGCTGATCCTTTCTTAGATTAATCGATGCATCGGATGTGGAAAGTAGGAATATGGGGACGATCCTTTCTTAGATTCATAAGTAAATTAGGAAAGTCATATATTCATCCTTTCCTTTTCATACTCAAATAGCACTAGAGAGATTCATTATAAGGAAATGAAGAACTTGCAACTTTTGATGTCATCTATCTGTGTCTCATCGGTCCAAGTAAAGAAGCGGCAAAAAGTTTCTCCCTGATCAAATGCAGTTGGGTTGCAACTTTGTCGATGCTCATCCGTCTTCTAGGCTCCAGCACAGACCAAGCGAGTCCAATACGATATATTGTTTCCAAACATTCTTGAAGCATGCGTTTTCTTTCGTGAAGCGAATCTTGGGAACTGTTGTAGCTCTCTCCTTCGTGAAGCAGCACAGGATCGGTAATTTCCATAGCTCGTTGGGGCAGAGCTTCAGCGACATAATTATGAAGATTCAAATTCTCTATGAATATATCGCTAGTGGGACTTAATCCCGTGAACATCTCTAACAAGAGTATGCCGTAACTATAGACAATACCTTCTCTTGGGAAAAAGTGCCAAAAAAGTCCTAAACCTTTTGCATAAGTGCCAATTTAGTCCTAAACCTTTTGCATTGGTGCCAATTTAGTCCTAAACCTTTTTTTGGTGCCAATTCAGTCCTAAACCTTTTTAATTGGTGCCAATTCCGTCCTAAACCTTTTGTTTTTGTGCCAATTTAATCATTCCGGTCAATTTTGACCGGAATTTGCCGACGTGGACGCCTGCTGGCCGGCGGCCGGTCACCGGCGCCGACGTGGCGCTGACGTGGACAACTTTAATAATATTTTAATATTTTTTTGAATTTTTATTTTTTTTCCTTTTTTATTTTTTTTTCCTTTTTTTTTAGGTCTCTCTCCTTCCTCTGGCCGGTCGCCCGGCGAGCGGGCTAGAGGCCGGCAAGCTCGACCTCCCCGGCCACTGGCGAGGCTCGCCCTCACCGACCACTGGCGAGGGCGGCCTCGCCCGGCGAGGCCGAACCTCGCCTTGGTCAGGCGAGGCTCTACCTCGCCGGCGGCTGGGCGAGGCCCGACCTCGCCCGGATTCGGCGAGGTCGGGCCTCGCCCGACCATGGCGCGGCTCGCCCTCGCCGCGGCCTCCGGCGAGGGCTCGGGCCTCGCCGCGGCCTCCGGCGAGGGCTCGAGCCTCGCCGCGGCCTCCGGCGAGGGCTCGAGCCTCACGTGGTCGGGCGAGGCCCGGCCTCGCCGGATCTGGCGAGGTCGAGCCTCGCCGACGGCCGGGCGAGGCTCGACCTTGCCGGATCCGGCGAGGTCGGGCCTCGCGACCACGGCGAGGCTCGGGCGCCCGGCCGTCCTCGCCAGTGGCCGGTGAGGGCGAGCCTCGCCAGTGGCTGGCGAGGTCGAGCTCGCCGGCCTCTGGCCGGTCGCCGGTCCAGCGACCGGCCAGAGGAAGGAGAGAAACCCAAAAAAAAAAAGTGGAAAAAAAAGGAAAAAAATAAAAATTCAAAAAAATATTATTAAAGTTGTCCACGTCGGCGCCGGTGACCGGCCGCCGGCCGGCAGGCGTCCACGTCGGCAAATTCCGGTCAATTTTGACTGGAAGGACTAAATTGGCACAAAAACAAAAGGTTTAGGACTGAATTGGCACCAATTTAAAAGGTTTAGGACTGAATTGGCACCAAAAAAAGGTTTAGGACTGAATTAGCATCAATGCAAAGGTTTAGGACTGAATTGGCACCAAAAAAAGGTTTAGGACTAAATTGGCACTAATACAAAAGGTTTATGACTTTTTTGGCACTTTTCCCCCTTCTCTTGAGACTTGGCTTCCATTAGCATATTCTTCAGTTTACGCGTGCCATGATGTAAGAAATGCCAAAAACAAGAATTTGAATTCACAAAAACACTAGTCTCTAAGCTTTCTTGGGTGGGGGGTGGTTGGGTTGGGTTGTTGGAGATGTTTACTGGAAGCGGCATAACCAATTGGTCCTCTTAAACCAGCAGAACTCATGTTTGCTCTAGTGTCAGATGTGGATTCAATTCAAGGACAATCTTCGCCAACCCAAAGTCACCAACATGTCCAAGCATGTCAGCATGTAGAAGGACATTGCTTGGCTTTAGATCACAATGAATTATTGGGCTTTCGCATTGATTATGGAGATAATCTAATGCATAAGCAACATCAATGGAAATGTTTATCCTTTGGACGAGACTCAATTTCTTCGAGTGCCCATCTGCATCATTTGGAGTTGAATTTGGGTGCAGCCACTCTTCTAGGCTGCCATAGACCATGAACTCGTAAACTAAAGCCTTAAACTCCTCACCCTTATAATCAATGCCTGAGCAAGCCGTCAAGACTTTCACAAGATTTCGGTGTTTTATACGCTTTAAAGTCTCGCACTCAGCTTTGAAGCTCTTGAGAGCGCCATCCCGCATTAAATTAAGCACCTTCACTGCAATGAGATTTCCATTCTCCTGGAGTAGCCCCTTATAGACGGACCCAAAACTTCCAACCCCAATTAGATTAGTCAAAGAAAAACCATCGGTTGCTTTTAGAAGTGTTCTATAAGACAGATTCAGTAATGAATCATCTGAGGAGCTTGAAATCGGCTCAATTTTTTTTTGCTTTGACCAACATAGATATAGGAAAGTGACAACGAGAGTTATTCCGACATGACCAAAAACAACGGCTATGGTGAGGTTCAACTTATGGACTCCTTCTCTGCTTTTGGATTTTCGAGAGACGCACTCAAGGAGCTTAAATTCAGGCATTCCTCCACATGGCTTTTCATTTCCAAAGACAAAAGTCGCACTCACATTCCTAAAAACTCCTTGGGTGGGTAGCGGGCCTTCCAAATGATTGTAAGATAAATTCAACTTTTCCAAAAACTGAAATGTCTCTAAGAACTTTGGAATTTCAGTATCGAAATTGTTTTTCAAAAGGTCTAGTTCCTCAATGCTTCTTAATGAGCTAATTGGTTGAGGAATGGATCCATGGAAGAGGTTATCTTGCATTCTTAGTACTCTCAGTGCATCACAATTGCCTAGACTGCTCGGGATTTCACCTTTCATAATATTTCCTGAGACATCCAACTCGTCCAAATGTTTCAAGTTCCCTATTTCCATTGGAAGGACTCCACTCAGATGGTTCTGAGACAAATTCAAATAGATGAGGCTCCCAGCCTCGGGGAATGTTACGGGACCAATAAGATTGTTACTAGAAAGATCTAGTCTTGTCAAGGTCTGGTACCACTATAGGTATGAAGGAATCGGCCCTTCGAAGTTATTTTCAGAAAGATATAAAAAGATCAATCTCTGTAGATTTTGCAAAGAGGATGGGATTATGCCAGATAGATTATTGCCTGACAAGACAAGTGCTGCAAGGTTCGAAAGGTTTCCTAAATCTGACGGGATTAGACCCGAAAGAAGGTTGCCTCCCATGTGTAATCTTTGAAAGGTCACAAGATTACCAATCTCTCTCGGGATTTCACCCAATATCAGATTCTGTCCTGCTCCCAGACTTGTTAAATTAGTGGAGAAATTACCAATGCATATTGGAAGCATCCCACCAAATCTATTTTCATTCATCTCTAATAGCTCCAAGTTAGTTGCATTTGTTAGGGAGCAAAGGAAGCTCAGTTCATATGCATCGGACCCTCCACTGCCAAGATAATTAGTGAATAAGGTAACCCACTCAAGGTTACGGAGATTTGCCAATGAAGGGACCTTTCCGGAGAACTCATTGCCTCCAAGTGCGACAAAACTTAGATTTGTGGCATTGGATGTCGACAAAGGAATTGATCCAGTGAACTGGTTAAAAGATATGCTCAGAACTTAAAGGTTTGGTAGAGTGAATCCTATATCTTCAGGAAAATTGCCGTGCATCTGGTTCATAGGTACATCGATTCCAGTCAACGAAGACAAGTTGAAGACTGAAGGTGGAATGGTACCCAAAAGCCCGTTGCTTCCAAAGGCGAACCCTTTTAGTTTGGTTAGTCCATCTAGAGATTGGGGAATAATCCCACTTAAACCATTTTGGTTACAAAAAATCCATTGCAGGGATGATAAGTTCCCTACGAAAGAAGGGACGCTGCTAGTTAATTGGTTCGTGGACAAGCTGACCATTTGAAGATTTGACATGGAGCCTAGCTCCATTGGAATTACTCCGGCCAACTGGTTGTACTCAAGGCAGAGAAATACAAGGTTCGAGCAACTTGATATATTCCTGGGAATCTCGCCAGTAAGTGAATTATTGGATAAGCACAAGATTTGGAGCCGACGCAACCGGCCAATTTGGGGAGGGATTTCAGGACCGAAGCTATTGTTTTGGAGCCACACTTCTCTTAAGAAGCTGAGGTTCCCAATGTGAGGTGAGATGGGTCCCGAGCGTCCTTGGGAATGGAGGTTTAGTACTGTGACCTTGAGGCGTCGATGACTGCACGTAAATCCGTACCATTGGCAGAAATCGGTGCTGTCGTTCCACGAGTTAAGAGACCCAAAAGGGTCACTAGTTATTTTGGCCTTGATTACAAGCAATGCAAGCCTATCTGTATCGTTAATAGCGGAAACGACTGCACCGAAGCACAACATGAGAAGGGCAGCGAAAGGAAGACAAGAACAACAGAGTTGTGCACAATTGAGACAGGAGTGTCCCATTTTATGAGCATAAATCTGGGTACTAATTCGCTAAGAGAGAGCAAGAAGGAATGAGTAAAGTGATATGTGTTGATAGAGGAGCTGGAGCTATATATTGAACAGCCTCGCAGAGATGGATTTTTATAAGCTGTGTACACCCTGGAGAATTCTGTCTTGGATGCATTCATACCTCTTTCCCGGTAAGTCATCCCTCCCGTACAGTCGGTTGCGATCGACAACTCAGATCGCTGAGAGGTTCTCCTACGAGCTGATGCGCCATTGATTGACCTCCCATGGAAACTCCTGTTCCTATTTGGGGAAAAGACCACGAAGCCATTGATCATTGGACACTCCATATACATTATTTTTGTTGCGGAAGCCGAGCGATCAAACAATAAATTTGACAGAATAAGAAAATAAATCGGACACCAGATTTACGTGGTTCGGTCGTAGTGACCTACGTCCACGGGGAGAGCAGCACGGAATTCCACTATAGATCAAGCGATACAACGGAGATTACAACCACACTCGAGTCACTCAAACACTCTTAGTGTTTCCTAAGCCCCAATTACACTCAATAACTCACGCAGTGTTTAGCCCCACAATTCCTCACAAAATAATCTCTCAATCCCGCAAAAGAATTGTACACAAATCTTAACACAAGATTTAATCGCTACGAACACTTGAGCTCTTGGTGTAATTCCACGAACAAAATCTCAGGGAGATAAACCCACGCCAAGCACTCGACGTCAACCGCGGCGCTTCAATACTTCTCTGACTTCTCCAAAGGAATCTTGATAAGTATTTATATTAAACCCACCGCCAGAGGAAGTGCAAAATTCCATCGTGAAGATTGCCACGTCAAATAGGAAACAAAGTCCACGTAATACATGGTCAACCAAAAACAAATTTTGGACTTTCCTATTTTATCTTTCCCTTTGGCCGTGAATTCCACAAGCATTAGGAAAGAATAATATTCTTTCTTTCTTCTAACACATTGACCGAGTCAAAGTTCAACATAAAATTCATGTGAACTTTCCAGTTTGAGAACAAGGACTCCAACGTGCATTAGGAAAGTGAATTTCAAATATTTCCTTTTTGCTCGGTTTCGGAGATCCGCAAAATATCCAATTCGGAATATTTAGATTTCACTTTGGGCTCAAACTCGAGACATATTTTCAACAATCTCCACATTCCCACCTCGAATTTCAACCCGTCATATTTCTGTGGAAAGGATCTTTATGTCCTTATTGCTCGAAGCATCGTAGACAAAACGCTTGACTTTTTCACAGTTTAATTAGGGTTGACAATTCGCGTGATCAAGTCTAAAATTTCAAAAAGTTTTTTTCAATTAAATAATAGTTGAGATGTGTCAATTTGTATCATCTTCAACTTAACTTAGTCATGTCGTGTAGGATTTTTCTCAATGAATCTCTAACTAGTTCAAGGTCATTCTAACTATGAATTACCACCCCTACCTCTATGAGTGTGACAAATTGCGGAGAGATGATCATTGTTTAACGCCTTATTTAAGTTGCAACAGCAGAAGATGGAGGAGGATTAAGACAAAAGCTGATTATCATTAATTCTACCAATTGGGATTACTTTGCACATGTGGTAAACATGAAAAAGAAAAATTACATTAAAAATCCTAAATGCTTTTTATGAATGCAATCAAGTTTTAAGTGCTTCAAAAAGCGCAATCAAATTCGAAATAAGTGCAAGTGTTGGCGGCGGCTTTTAATCGCCACAATTTTAAACCATTTGGATTTTCTCTCAAAATCATGCATGATTTCGATTATAATCAAATTAGAAAGCATGGAGGGAACTATTAATTGAAATTAAGACTCAGATCCATGAAAAAATAGAGTTAGTCCCCCAACCTCCATGGCCGCGGTGATGGACTCTGCTCAGTTGATATGCTTGAGTTTCGCAGAGAGAGAGAGAGAGAGAGAGAGAGAGATATTGTGTGCGTGTGCAACAATTTTTGTGCGACGAGGGAAGAACGACGAAGCCTTTGGTGACGACGGTGGTGGCGACAACAGCGATGGTGATCGGGTGGTGGTGGTGGATTTGATTTTTTTTTGATAATTTTTTGGCTTTTTTTTGATAATTTTTTGGCGATAGAGAAGTGAAATTGCTATCCCAATACTAGGTAATACTGGGAAACCCAATTCCACATTTCTTGAGGAATCTAACTTCACAAGTAATCCATTTCCAGAATTTGATCTTCTTTCCAAACACATTTAACTTGCAACAGGATTTCTATTCATAGACTAATCTAATTCCACATGAAACCAAGCAATGGTTTAGAGTAATGTTGGAGCTAGACACACCTAAATCAGGTGCGGTAGGCCCAGTTACAAAATCATGAGAGTTCTATGTGAGGTTTTTTTTTTTTTTTTTTTTTTTTGACTCAAGTTCCATGTGAGTTTCACGTGACCCAACAAATCACATGTACCGGGCCTATAAATTATGTGTGGGGCAAGGTGAGGCACGTCTTCAAGGGAACAGGGCACCGTGACTCATGAGGGAAAAAACTTTCATTTATTTTTCCTTAAATTTGAAGATATAATTTTTAAAATTTCCATAATAATTATGAAATATTCTACTTTAAACTTGTTCATATTCTATAATTACTAAAAGAATTACAGTCTCGTGAGCTTAGCTCTACTTATTATATTAATATGTTTGTATTATTAGCTTCTTCTTCTTTTTGCAAATTATTCACTTAATGACACATATTTTTATTTTACTATTAAAATATTTGTTTGCAGTGCTGATAAACAATTGTACTATACTTCTTATTACAACCTAAATAATCTTTTGATTATCAACCGGAAGACTATATTTTATCCAGGTCATAACCGATTCTTATAATAATTAACAATCACATTCAACATATATATACTTTCCAATGAAGTATTTAACAAAGTCTAAATGAAAAAGAATATTGTATTATTTGGAGATTTGTTTTTTGGTCAAAATATTATTTGGAGATTACGTGCCTTTGAAATTGGACTTTTATTTGATGCTCAACGATCCAAAATCTCGAGGATGTATAAATTTTGACATTAATCATATTTAATTTTTTCTACTTGCTTTTTTAAAGTACAACAACTGTTCTTAAATTGATGGGGAACAAATGGTGTTTACAAGAAACATCTAATCCAGAGCTCCACATGTGCATTTTCATCATCTTAATCCATCCTCTTCAATCATCACACCCCGCCCCAACTCACACACATGTATAGGAGATAGGAGTCCGCACGACGGGGGATCATTCCCTGTGAATTTTAATATATAATTGTTAAAATTTTCACAATAGTTATGAATTATTAGAAGAATTAATTTTTCTATTTTAAACTTGTTTATATTCCATAATCTTTAAAAGAATCACAATCTCGTGAGCTTAACTCTACCTATTTATATGAATGCGTTTGTATTCACTTAATAACATATATGTTTTTTTTTTACTACTAAGTGTGCGA